CCCCAAAACCCCAAAACCCCAAAACCCCAAAACCCCATTTTTTTAATCCTGTATTGAATTTTAAAAAATATCAAGAATTCCATTCTTAAGAGTATTGGAAAATATATCAGTGAGGATAGCTGCTACTCTAAATATAAGGAAGGGTAAAAAGTAATGAAATTCTTTGGAATTTTCATTTCTCTTGGCCATTTGTTCTACAGGATAATTCTAAAGAGTACCTTCATTACTTTAAGTTTCTTTTCAAGACTTCTCCTCTTTTTGAAATATGCTATAAAAATTGAGGTGATATTTGGTACATTTTGGTCGATATTTTGGCTTTGCTGATGCATAAGTAAAACTTTGGATAGTCTCCTCAGGGTCAATTTTAGGTTTATGACTACTCTGATCAAATTCGTAAGAACCGGTCTTATTCACAGCATTCTAAAATTAAAGATTTTTTACCTTAAAAATGCTCAAATTAAGAGGCATTTTACTTGTATGTAGCCCAGAATAGTTCTATAATTTAGAAGGAAGAATACCTCTTGAGTCAGACTGAAAGCGAGACCATCAATTGTTGGCTTTTTGAATCATTTCTGTTACATTTAAATATTTTGAAAAGTGATTTATAAGTGTGTAAAATTACCTTAATTTTCTTTTTCTTGCCTGTTAACTTGAACTAAAATATTAGTAAGAGCTTACTGATTGTAATAATTTTATAGGCTCTTGAGTAACCTTTTGATATGTATTGATACCAGTGATTCTTTTATTTAGGCTTTAAAGATTTGAAGTTCATCCTAATTTTATTCTCGTTTGGACTTCTAGCTCCCTAAAATTCAAGTTTTGCGATTACATTTGACCGAAGGTGATTTTTATGGGGAACTTTAAACATCCAGCTTGTTCTTAAATAAACACTTTCTATTGTCTTCGGTCTTGAGAGCTTTTTGTGGGAGGATTTCTTGGTCTGGATAGTACTTATCTCACTGAGATTTTTAATTTCCCTTGCTTCTTCTAAAAGTATTGTGTTGGAAATACCTGATAAAATTTGCCTAATGCCGGTAATATTCCTTTTCACCCGGAGTCCTTTTATTCTGTCTGCCTATGAATTAAAAGGAGGTCTACTGTATTCCTGAATTTTTGTTTAAGCTGTCTCACATCCCTATCAATTCTACTTTGCTACATGGTTATAGATGACATCTACGATGAACTTGTTCATTTCAGAGGCGTTTTGAGTCATTTTAAATAATATAGTTATAAATAATCCATATTTCTTGGGGTTTTGGGGTTTTGGGGTTTTGGGGTTTTGGGG